CCCCCGTGCGGGATGGGATCCCACCCCCCCCCCGTGGTTAAAAAATGTCGGGGCGGGATGTGGTCTTTTCAAATGAGGGGAGTTTGCAGAAGAGGTTGGCAGGCTTGGAAAGAGCGATAGAGAGGAACACTAGTGCTCGTGAGAAGTGGAGTCATGAGCCAAAGCGATTTCTGGAGAGTGAGATGTTGTTGGATGATGCTGTGAGATTGTTCGGGGAGTTAAGCGCACATCCGGATTTGATTCTAGCCTTGCCACGGCTCAACGGTTTGGAAACGTTACTAGGACTCATGGCACATCCTAACCCAGATGTATGTCAGACGGTAGTGGGCGTCTTGACTGAGTTACTGGACGTCGAGTTAATGCCTGACGCGGCACAGAAAGCTGCGCTCTTGGAAATGATCGAGTACGCTCTCACCGAGTACGCGCTCTTCTCCCTGTTAGCCGAACATCTCGACCACCTCGATGAACAGGACAATGAAGAGGACTACGAGGCCGTCACCGACTGCTTGGAGTTCGTCAACAACCTCTTCGAAGCCACCCCGCGCCTCGTAATCCGCAACCTGGCCGAAAGTGAACAAAAGACACTCAAGTTTTTATTCAACAGGCTTACCTACGATCGTGTCGACTCCAACGGCGTCTTTGCAGTAAGTATAGTCTGCGATATACTCACCTACTGCTCCAACCTCGTCGCTGAAGAAACACCACCCACCGTCACGTCCAATGACGTCAAGAAGTCCGAAGGCGTCAAGAAGTTCAATGACGTCGAGTCTGAGACCCTCAGCTTGCTCTTGTCCATAGTGGATAATCATCACGCCGCCAGAGGAATGGAGAGGATGTTAGTGGCTCTGAGCTACGGCAAGAAAAACAATGAATATGAGACTGTGGAGGCGGAAGAGATGCTTAAGTCAGTAGCCGTTGGGCTCAACGCTTGTCTGTCCACCGGTCGATCCGAGGTTGGAGCGGTGTTCGAAGAGTGTCAAGGAACCCAGTTGTTAATGCGACTATTTAGGGTAGAGAGCAAGCTGTACCCTCTGGCGTTGCAGCTGTTACCCGTGGCGCTGAGAATCTCTCCGGCCAACTGCTCGATATTTATTGACAGAGGCGGTCTGAAATGCCTCTTCCCCATTATGACGGGCCAGACAAAACTTTATAAGGCGAATAGCATCCCGAGACTGAAGGAGATAGATAATTGTATCAGTATTCTCTACGCGTTAGTCTTCTCAACGTCTGGCGATTCGAATACTCGCGTCTTGACAAAAATTGTCGAGAACGGAATGGAGAAGTTTAAGCAGCTTCTCCTGATTTTGACCGAATTGTATGCTCAAATGAACACACTTGATACCGAGCTATGTTCTCAGATGCAGTACGAACACAAGGTAGACTGGGATACAACCCTCAGTGAGTCAATCGATCAGGAGACAAAACCTGGTTACCATTCGGCCGTAGCTTCAGGACTACTGACTCAAGAAGATCTAGTAGTCGAATTCAGCCTCCACGACGAGAAGTCAAATATCGAGCTGGGAGGTATGTTCTCCGCCATCCTGGACATCGTAAGGATTGTTATCAAGTTGTCAAACATGGGACATAAAACCCTCGGTTACGCCGTACACTATACGGTCAACTACAACCCAGAAATATCAAAAATCATTCATGCCGTCATCAAAGGTTGGTCACTCGACGTATCTAATATTTGACTCTTTAGAAAACGACTTTTTTCGTGGAGGAGAGGAAAGGAATCAATATATACAGTTCAAGAAGCGACATGAAGCCATGGTAGCATCAGCATCAGCGCATCTGTCGGAGGCAACCGATCGAATCGCAAAAGGTATGACACGATGAAGAAGACCACTCATTCGATGAAAACCACTCATTCGATGAAAACCACTCATTCGATGAAAACCACTCATTCGATGAAAACCACTCATCCGATGGGAACACCTCACTGACAAAGCTTTTGTAGCTGCGGAAGAACAGAGGGAGCAGGAAAAGGGGAAGATCGCCAAAAGTCAGACGGAGAAGAACCGAGCCAAAAGTCAGACGGAGAAGAACCGAGACACGCGGCAGCGACACAAAATCAGGCGACTGGACGCAGAAGCGAAGCGATTACAAGCGATTGAAGAGTCGAGATACGATCAAAAGCGGTAAGGTCTGTCGGAATAGGTGCGCCGTTTCTTGTTTTATGAAGTAGCTGATTCACACCAGGCACCTGGCTGGGGGTAGTTGACCTCTGTCGTAGAACTGCTCCCAGGTCTCCTGGCTAAAGAAGAAGGTTCTGGACAGAACCAACACAGTCGCTTCTGCTCAACATTGATTTTTCCCCCACATTGTGCTCTCACAGATTGGTGTCACGGGGGTCCATGACACCGGGCGTAACGGCTGATGAAACGAAGGCGTTTCTTGACAGCCATGATCCTTTACTATTTTCCGTCCCACGGAGTGCGACCCGTAGCTCTGGTCACACCGTGATCGGTCACGATGTTAGGTAGTCGTCACTCTAGCTAGAAGCGGCGGTAGAGGTGGTCTTCTGGAACCTCGCTTGCCGCTTTCGTTTCTTTTCGTCTTCAACTACAGCTGTGCAAACGGTGGTCAAAGTGTGTTCGAGAAACATGTGTGGGAGGCATGTTCAGGAAGCACATGTGTCAAAGGATTGTGTCCGGAAATTGTGTCCTACCGTTGGTGACGCCGAATCGCTCAGCTCTCTTCTTTAGAACTTCTGGCGTAACGTTGACCTGAGGGTCGTGACTGAAACGCTGCTGCCGTCGGGTACGCTTCTCCTGTTCGATGTCCGGATGCGGGAGACCGAACTTGAGCGCTCGTTGCTTCGCCTTCTCCTTCTCCAAGCTGGGATGGTTCAGTCCAAACTTCAGCGCACGCGCCTTCAACTTGGCCTCGTCGTCCATATAAAATATTTCGAGCCGGCCGACCCGGCGAGTCGATGCGACCAGGGCCAGAACCGACCCGACAATGCAGACCCGACCAATCACGAACTGACGCAACTAAACCCAACCAATAAAAACGCTTACCCCCCTGCGTGCAGGACTTAACGGAGGAAACGACCTCGAGTAGGGGCAAAAGAAACGATGCAAGGGGGAGGGGGAGGCAGGTATCGATCGGACACGCTGATGAATCAATCAAGAGCGCGAGAGAATGAATGGCGAGGTCTGCCGGGACACGTGCGGTGGCATACTACTATACCGACAGACTGCATGATGCGTCTGAACAGACAGACCCCAACCGTATGGTGCTTCCGACCACAAAGCCACCATGACCCGAAAGCGTCGCTGAGCACTTTTAGTTGTCGGAGGCCGCAGTGTCCGGAGGTTGTGTCTGTGCAGCAGCACTCGTATTGTCCAGGAGTCTTTTGTTTGTGGAATTATTGGCGGAAATTGTGCTGCCAGAAACATTTGAAAGCAGTGGCACAAGTGTGGAGCTCGAAAAAGGCCGGCATAGACAGGGTTGGGTGAGGGTGCCTGAGTGCGGGTGCCTGGGTGAGTATTTGTGGGTATGGTCTTAAGTGGTCACAGGTTGATGAGTGTGGGGTCGGGGTTTTTGTAAAATAACCTTGCATGGCGGGGGCCGTGGTCTCAGAAGATTGGTATGCTAAGAGGAGTGCCGAGGTGTCCCGGCCGGTGGTTGTGAAGAAGCCGCGAAAGTTCGAGAAGTGGGTGCGGCGATGGCGGATGCCGTTTACATTGGACAACTGGCGTTGGGGGTTGCAGGAGGCCTTGACAATTTCGGTATTGATGTGGCCGTGTTGCGTGCCAAAGATCGACCAAATGTTCTTTAATGGAAACTGTCGCTGGGTGGTCGCATCGGCGACCCCCGTAATTGAAGGGACGGCAGGGGGCACAACCCGTCGTATGATAGATCGTGTCGCTGGGACGACCATTGCGGGCATTCTGGTTATCATTGCGATTTCTGTGACTATTGGAGTAAACTCGCAACGTTCAGATGATTGGTACTGCATCTTAGCGCTGTACATCCTCATGTCCTTGTGTGGGTTTGTGTACAACTGGCTGTTGTTTGCCGTGCCCACACATCCTCTTATTGGTATTACCGCGGCTTTCATGACCCCTATTATTTTATCAGGTTCCATATTTACCGGCAACGGCGTGTTCTACGCCTCTTGGCGGTCCATCACCGTTTCCTTCGGTGTCATCGTCTCTGGCGTCATTTCACGTTACTTCCTTCCTCGGAGGGCGCGGGTGGACATCATCCATGGCCTCTCCGACATTATGATGCATCTATCCAACACTCTCGAGCCACTCGTGGAACTGGAATCCGGACTAGTCGCCAATGCCTCCTTCTTCAAACTTAAAAATCAAGACTCAATCGGACCCGCCACTCGGGGACCAACCAGTCGTGGCTGGGGCGACAGTGCCACCTTGGACGCGACTAAGTTGACGGGCAAAATCAAAGTCACTGCAGAGAACTGGGAGGAGTTTAAGCAGGCAGTGTGGGAAAAGTTGGAGTTGTGTGGCAAGTTGACAAACGACCAGTTGGTGATGGTCAATGCGGCACGTACGGAAGTGTCTATGCGTAAGAAAAACGCGTTCTTCCAAGAGGAGCATCGGGAGGCGCTGGTCAATATTCGAACGCTCTTTTACCACGTGGCTTCTCTCTTCTTTCTCGTCGAGACCCAAATTATGGGTACCTCCGAATTTGAAGATGCCGATCTTCTTGAGGAAATCGAACACTGGTCACGCTTCGGCCTCCTCGACATCGCTCGCGGACCAGATAGCGATGACGCTGGTGAAGAAATGCCCCGCGGCCTCCTCGAACATGCCCGAGCTAGCCGCCGATCCACCTCCAGCTATGAAGACCAGACCCAGCACGCCTGCCACCCATCCGTGAACCAACAGATCTCCCTGCTCACGTCTAGACTTGAAGCACGTCGACGCCAGACTCAGGACCGAACCGAGGACCTAGGCAGCGGCGAGGCCGTCCCCCAAGGTGCCTCCCGCGGGGTTTCGGCCGGCCTCATCTCGGCCGCCGATTACGCCAACTTGGCGGAGGCCGCGCTCCAAGAACTGCAGCACTGCGGCACCTCGCCCGAGGGGGGCATTTTCCCTGGCGGTGTTATCTCCGGTGATGCCCCCGGCTCTGGGGGTCCACCTGCCCCATCAGGTGCGGCTGCCCCATCAGGTGCGGCTGCCCCATCAGGTGTCGCTCCGTCGGCTGCCCCGTCAGGTGTCGCTCCGTCAGCTGCCCCGTCAGGTGTCGCTCCGTCGGCTTCGGACACGGACAAGTCGCGAGTAGCATCGTCTGCATCTACGTTAGTTCGAGGTGTGGAACGTAAGGCATTGAGTGCGAACGAACGAATGAAGGCGGATGTTAATCCCACTGTTCGTTGGGTTAAGTTGTATGGGCCGACAATTAGCCTAATGGTGCGTTGTATATGCAAAGCGTTGTCGGCGGCGGCTGAAGGCTTGCGTGAGAACACGTTTCCGGTAGAGGCTGAGTTGGCGATGAAGAAGGCTGCAGATGCGATTGCTTTATTCCACCGACAGCGGGCAGAACGACAACAAGCCACGGCAACTTTTGTGGAGTACGCAGTGCATGGACGTAGCAGCTCGGACATGGCTGAGGACGACCCGACATTCGTAGCGCGCTTCGAACGGATGTTGGGCATTAGCATTGACGAATACGACGCTTTCTCCGAAGAAGGTCGAGCCGCCTTCTGGCAGAGCTATTGGCTGTTGCGCGACAGACTCTCCACCTCAGACACCAACGTCATGACTCTATTTGTAGCCGTACGCACCGCCATTGCCGCCGTTGAACGTCTGATTCGTGTTCGACGAGCTAAACTCAGTCGCGGTGAAGACCTACACGACCATCTCGACCTAGAACGTTTGGAGGCGCAACAACAAGCAGCACTCCACAAGGCTGGCGGTGTTGCCGGTTTCCGCAACTCCATTTACGCAGACGTCGCCGACACACGCCGACTGAGCCGCTAACTAAAACCGCTAACTAAAACCTGTCTGTGAAAAAACACGCTCGCGGAAGAACGCACCCGCCAAAGGACACCGCCATTTTTCTCTGAAAACATGCCTCTACCCAATGACGTAACCGACCAACCTTTCACGCACACAAACACCTAGGTAGCGCCACAGTTGATTGACACCAGACCTCAGCCGTCTCGGAACAGCCTTTCCCCTGGGCCGGCGGCCGGTCTGCCCCATGTCAGCGACCTGCTTTCTGTCAGCGGCTTGTTCCGTGATGATGCTATTTGATCGTAGGGCGGTTTGACCGCAGAGGAGGTTTCTCTGTTGCGCAGGAATCTGCGAGAGTTCCCAGACTTCCCGAAGGAGGGAATTGTCTTTTTGGATGTGCTGCCGCTGTTGGCTGTGCCGGAATTATACAAGCTGAGCATCAAGTGGTTTCGATCCGTGATGCCATCCGGAATTGACATGATTGTTGGTCCCGAGAGCAGGGGGTTTCTGTTTGCTTGTCCGCTGGCGTTGGAGACTGGTACTGGTTTCGTACCTGCTCGCAAGCCAGGCAAGCTACCAGGTGAACGGGTACAAGCATCCTATGCCCTTGAATATGGCGAAGCCACCTTGGCTGTACAGACAGGAATGATAACACCCGGGATGAAGGTCTTCCTCGTGGATGATGTTCTGGCCACAGGGGGCACTCTCGCCGCCCTAAAGAAGATAGTCGAACAGTGCGGAGCCACGGTAGTCAAGGCAGCCTGTCTTATGAATATTGCCGCGCTACCTAAAACAGATGTCACCCTCACGGTAGAGACACTGTTTGATCTGTGATCCGTTTCCAGACCCCTAAAGTTTAGACCCCTGCATCTAAATACTTCATTACGCTCCCCGTGGTCGTGGTGCTGTTTTGATCGGGAAACAACAATACTGAAAAATGCTAATGTAGTTCGCTGCCACTGCTGTATCCGCACTCCTGGGTCGGAGTTCCGGGTATATTTGAAGCGAGTACTGGGTCGGAGTTCCGGGTAGGAGTTCCGGGTATATTTGAAGGGGTTAAGTTAGAAGGGGTTAAGTTAGAAGTTTAGGGCTTGTTTGGCGGCATAGTACTGCTTGACGGCGGGGTGGTTTTTGACGGCTTGTACGACGCGTGTGATGGCGGGGAACTTTTTGGTAAAGTCCATGTCGGTCATGTCGGTCATGGTGTGGACGGCGCTGTAGAGGACTATGTCGGCGAGGCTGATGGTGTTATTAACGCAGAATCCGGCGCCGCCTTGGTGTCTGAGTATTTCCTTTTCGAGTCGTTCGGCATGTGGTTCGCACTCGGCTCTGCGGTCGGCCTTGATGGCCTCTCGTTCGGCGTCCGTGCATGCGAAGAGTTGGCGCAACGGTACCCAAACGGCTTGGGCCATGTGCATGAACTGGTGCATGTACGCCAACTGTAAGGGGTCCTCGGGTATGAGCACATCCCGGCCAGCGTACTGCAAACATCCAAGCATCTCCGTGATGTACGATCCATCCGGTAACAATAGATATGGCACCATGCCAGACGGTGCCTTCGCCTTCTCCGACGCCCAGTCCGACATTTTGATGCGGTAGTCTTCAAACGCACGACCGCTGATCGCAAACGCTAAACGCACCGGCTCACCGCGCCCGTGGAAATCGAAGTAGGCCAAACGCGGCAACTGACTTGCTGCACTCGGCATCTCCTGACAACAAGAGAACATCTCACCAAAAACAAAAAATTCGATATTTCCAACACACACCTGAGAGGGCACTCGCTTGCCGACTTACTTGTTTAGGTTGTAGTTACTGAGAGTAGTTACCAATTAGGAGTGCAGGTTACTAACTAGGAGTGCAGGTTACTAACTAGGAGTGCAGGTTATAGTCACTGATTGGGAGGAAGATTGCAGTCAGCTAGAAGCCAGACCCTGTATTCAGTTGCTGTCAGCGCGCCAGTTGCTCTCAACCAGGTCGCCTAAATATAGAAGGATAGATGGATGTTCTTTGTAAACAAAGGCAAAGAACTTACATCCAAACCCATTCAGCTGGCGAAGGATGCGATACATCATGCCTCATTACCCTTGCAGATGGTCGAGACTCCGGAGGATGCGGAGGTCTACGTTTTTGGAGACGACGTTTGGGAAGCCCGCTATGCCGTCCTTGACTCCCTTGGCTTACCTGACCCCCGGGCTCACGACTGCTACAGGTTCTCCACCATCACCTCAGTTCTCAAACGTCGGCTCTCTGAATTGGGCCCACCGGACGCTCCAGGAATCCACCATCTTGACGGAGACACTCCTGGACGAAAAGCACAGGACGGAGAGGGAGCTGCCCGTAGTCCGATGAAGGCTGCCTGTAGTCCGATGAAGGCTGCCTGTAGTCCGATGAAGGCTCCCGGTAGTCCAGTGAAGACTCCCCGTTCGAAGTCTCCTGTGCCGACGGAGTGGACGCCAGGGAAGAGGAAGTGGTCCAGGGAGGACGATGATTCCCACAGTATCAAAAGATCGAAGGAAGACACCACCCCTCCAGTGGCACGGGCGCTGGCACGGACGCCGGCCAACGACACGTCGAGAGATTTATCCGAGTCTCCTGTGGCGAGAAATGAGCTGCTGTTGACGACTCGACTTAGTAAGATGAAGGTGTCACATGAGATTCCGAGCAGCGCGATCCCGAGGCTGTCGCGCACCCAGGCTTCGACGCTAAGCGTGACGCCCAGCGTGATGCCGCCCAACACGAGGCGTCGGCCTGATGGTGCGTACGTTGAACACGGAGGTGGTTCCGTTCATCGGGAGTTAGTGGACCGCGAGTCAGATAGACAGTGCGTGTTGACGATGTTAAGAGAGTTTACTGAGATTTACCACATTCAAGGGGAGCAGTTTCGTCGCAAGGCTTACGAGTCGGCCTTCCAATTCATAGACCTGAATCCGAGTGTAGACCTGCGGCACGATTCCAAGATTGGGTTGGCGGTGAGGCGGAAGATAGACGAGTTGTTGACGACGGGTAGGTGTCAGAAGTTGGAGTACCTGAAGAGAGACCCGATGTTGAAAGGGAAAAGGGAACTATTACAGGTGTTTGGCGTGGGCCTTGGAGGTGTGGAGAAGTTCCTAAGCAAGGGAATTGTGTCTGTCCAGGATTTACGCAATGCCGTGGCCTCAGGTAAGGTAATGCTGGACGCTCGGCAACAGGTAGGTCTAAGGCACTATGACGACTTTGCGCTACGCATCCCGCGGTGGGAAGTAGAAGCTATTGGTCGTGTCGTGGAGTACACGGTCATCACATACTTGAACATGCGCGCGGACGTCCAAATCTGCGGGAGCTACCGGAGAGGCGCGAAAGATTGCGGTGACGCTGATATTCTCATTTTCTCACGTGAAACGGAAAGATGCAGAGGTATCTACGCACTTGTGGACGCCCTTAAAAAACTTGGCTTTGTACATGAAACACTGCTCATCTCCGTCAACCCCGACCTCATCCAAACGTACATGGGCGTCTGTAAGATAGGTACCGAACTCTCCCCCGCACTTCAAGACCTACTTCTGCAAACCCTGCCAGACACCGGACGTGAAGACGACCCGGGACCTGTAGACGACCCGGGACGTGGAAACGACCCGGGACCTGGAGACGACCCGGAACGTGGACACGGCACGGGCAAGGTGAAGGACTTGCCTTTCCGGCGACTGGATCTCAAGCTGTACCCCTACCATATGAAGCCGTTCGCCCTAATTCAGTGGACAGGTGGCGAGTACTTCAACCGTGCACTGAAAATCCGGGCAACTTCCCTCGGCTATCGGCTCTCGGAGAAGGGACTGTTCCCCATTGCATCCAAGACCAAGGAGAAGCTTGGACCCAGTGTGGTGCTGAACTCCGAAAAAGAAGTCTTCGAGTTCCTCAAAGTTCCCTACAAGTGAGTCCCGATCCGTGCGGGTGATCCCGACCGATCCCCCCCACTGGCACCAACCCCCCTCTCCCCCCTCCCCCTCCCCCCCCACAATGGCACGGACTCCCGTAACACCCAAGGGTCCCGTGCCTTTTAGTCCTGAATTCCCTTGGCAACAAAGTGTTTTGGGGTACGGCCTGAAGGCCTGGCTGTCTAGGGCAACATTACGCTCTTTGGATTTTTAGAGACCCAACCGAAAGATTGACCATTAACCGACCTTCACCTCATCCTCGGGGCCGCGTCAGGAACAACTTGAGTGATCATGACGGCGCTAGCGACCATCATGGCCGCACCGATAAAGGCGTCGATGGAGGAGGGTTGTCTTCCTGAGACCGATGCGATTGTTCCAGTGGTGGAGATTAGTGGTGGTGGAGATCAACGCGGGCGGTGGCACAGCCGAACGCAGGGAGCAGAGCGCAGGACGGGGTCGCCCGACTAACCAGGTCGGTTTAGTTGGTTAGTTAGTTAGCTAGCGACCTGGTCGAGTAGCGACCTGGTCGAGTAGCCGGAGCGTGTGCTCCTCGATCACATTAAAAAAAGGTGCATCGCTGATGTCGGACTATGCGTTCTTGGTGAAGCGGTGGTCGGTGCCGTTGGGGGAGACGTTGTCGTGGGAGTTCGATGTTGCGGAGTGGGGTGGAACGGCGCCGGTTGTGGTATTGGACGCGGCAGTTGGTCGTTCGGAGAAGTTGTCGGCGAAGTTGCGGGAGAGCAGTTACGACATTGAGGCGGTGGCGAAGAGTGACTGCAGTGTGCAGAGTGTGGCGGCTGCAGGGTGCGGTGTGGTGTCAGGGACAGCGTTGGTGTTTCGGCAAGGGTACTATCAGGTGGGGAATTTATTGGTATGGGCGGCGATAAAGGAGATGTCTAGTGGCGACCGGACATCGTTGACGAATCCGTTGGACAACTCGGCAGCATTCACCCTAACTAGTCACCCGGTGCTGCAGGTACACACAGAGCCATACGCATCCGTGCCGGTGCAGGTTAATAAAGTAAGTCGTCTGGGAGCGAGCGACATTTCCATCGCACTGGACTCTTCGGCACGCGCAGGACTGGTCGTACTCGCCGGACTCAACGACAACCGCAGCGGCTCCTTCCTTTTAGACAATGCGCAGGTCGAGGTCGGAGCAGTCGGTGGTTCTGGGGTTGAAACCCTCTCAGAAATGGAGTTTACTTGGAACTACACACCCGGCTGTACCGACGCCGCTGTTTTTCCTTCCCTCGTCCACAACGAAACTGGCGGCCGCACACTCGACACCAAACACTTCCTTTTCACAAAGACACTTCAACTCATCAACACCAACGGCGCCCTCGAAGGCTCCGCCATCGCCGCCGTCTACGCCGACGACTGCACACCCGACGTCATGGGCGACTACGCCACTGAATACACTTACGGCCTCACCGTCGTCTCCTCCGACACTTGCTTCCGAGCAGATAGTAAGCCACATCCACTCCACTCCACACACGTGTGTGCACGCATATGTGTCCATACCATTCCTGCAGAAACGTGGTACTACGTGTCCGGCGGTGACGCACCAGCACCCGGCGACGCGCACTGGGGCGCAGCTTTATTGTCCATTTTTCTCATTCTTTTCTTCTTGGGCCTGGTAGGGGTCGGGTATTACTTTTGGTCCAAGTGGCAGTCGGCAGCGCCCGTGGTACCCGACGAAGACGAGGAAATCAACAGCGGACCGCGCCCCGATCCCGCAGACCAGATCCCCCGATCCTCACTCCGGATACAACCGCGGGGTGCCTTGCGTCCTCCAAAACATCTTCTCAACTAAAGGGTGCCCAACTCAAGAGCTGCCCCGAAAGACCAGCCCGAAAGACCAGTCCTGAAGCTCGGCCGGGAAGGTCGGCCAGTCAGTCGAACTTCCGCGAAATTCGTCGGGCGAAGGCCTCGAAGGACTCGAGCGGCTTTCTCAAACTAAGAGTCGGAATCCATCCGACGGTATTCGTATCCACTCTGCAAAACACAATGTCTGTGACGACGGGCACGAACCCGGTGGCGACCCTCGCCTCAATGCCGACTTGGAGGTGAGCGGAACTTACTTTCGTACGAGACACCAGCCATAAACGGTGTTGTGTCTGGAACGCAGAATAGACACTGCTGTTCCGGGTCGTACGTTCATACTCCACGCCGACGCGTTTTTGAACTTGCTATTTGCATTTTCTATTTTGTACTGAGCAATCGAAATCTCCTTATACACGTAGCACCGAGCCCCCGTCTCTTCTGAAACAAGAGTTCGTCTGTGCCACACGTGTGCGAGATGTGACGACGTCACACGTGTGCGAGATGTGTGTGTACCAGTATGCAGCCGTGTCAGACGTACGGGTTCTAGTGGAGCACTGCGGCGCGGAATCCTCGGGGGAGTCGGTCGTTGCCGTGAGGTCGACGGTGGCGGTGGTATCGAGGGCGGGCAACTGGTCGTATTGGCCGGTGGCGGTGTCCGGACCGCGCAGGTCGTCGGACGGCGCGTTGCGAGACGCTGTGGGCGGAGCGCTGCGGGCAGGGCCAGCCAAGCCAGGGCCAGCCAAGCCAGGGCCAGCCAAGCCAGGGCCAGCCAAGCTCGGAACGGGGTCAGCACGGCCGGGAGCGGAGAAGGCAGGAGCGCTACCGGCAGAGCCCGATGGGGTAAACGCAGCCCCCTCAAAGGCGGGCGCGCCAGGGGCTCTGTTACGGGCGTCTGTGACGGTTTTGATGAGATCCGTGACTTGTGCCCGTGCGATGAGGTTGGCAGTGTCCTGTAGCGGTGCTTCATCTGCCGAGAGATCTGAATCTAGGTCACAATCGGAATCTCGGCCTTGGTCGAAATGGTGGAGTGGATGGTTTGCAGAACAGGAGAAGAAGTGTCGACATAGGTCCTTCAGTTTGACATTCTTGCATCGCTTGCAAGCGAGGCAGTTACTGGGGCATTCGAGGATGCTTTCCTTCATGTCAGCTGTGAGTGTCATGGGTACAGACTCGTCCACACGCCCGGGGTTGGTACAGCCACGACTAGTGCAGACCGTAGCGTCATTACGGACAACACAGGCTTCGCATACTAAGTGCCCGCACGGTAGTATCCGCAGCCGGCTTGAAATACACAAACAGTTTACACATGTGATCTCCGGGAACTCACTCACCAGATGGTTCGAGTGAAACTTCCCGTCCTCGAAGATCTCCGCCTGTCGCCGGTCGACGTCCGCCGCACTGACCACGTTCTGCCGCCCCGAATCCTTTCCCTTCGGCGGCGGCCTAGAACTCGCCGTCAAACGCTGTTTGCCCTGCTCGTCCGGTTCAATCTTCACGTACGGACGACACCGCTGAATGACGTCCTGCAAGGTCAGACCCAACGATCGGTACTCCAACGGCCGACTGCAGCACCGCGAATACAGACTTGGCAACTGCGACAGATGCGGGCTATCTACACAAAACGCTCGTCATCCCCAACGCTCGTCATCCCCACACTCGTCATACACAGGATGCACGAACACCATGAACACACGCTCTCCCACCTATCCATTACCATTCATTCGGACCACATTCCATATCAAGTACACAGTGCGCTCATCCATCTAATATTTTTTCCCCGCCGGCCCATCTACGGGGCCGGAATTCAAAGCATCACGAAGCGATCAGGGTCCCCAAATTATCGGAGTTCTAAAGCGATCGGATACCCTGCCGTAGTACACGTCACATTGCCATTAAGTTGGTTCAAAAACTACAGGGCGGCGAGAATGGTGGAAAGGGACTCCTTGTCCGAGAGAACGTATTCCACCAAATCGTTGAAACTTTGCTGGACTAGATCGCAAACTTGATCTAGGTCATTTCGTCTTTTCTTTCTTGGTGAGCTATGCCCCAGAGTCAGAGAGTCAATCACAAGAAGAATCAGTGGATACGGACTTTTTGCTTTATATACTATGCTGTAGCCCCCTCCTTGCTTGAAGATGGCCTCTATATCGCGTATCGCTTCCGCCATAATCTCAATCTGAGTGAAGGTCTCGTCGACGGGAACTGCGGAGGACTTTTTCACTACATTCTTGTACTTGTTTTTCAGTCCGGCATCCCGGTCGCCAGACAAGGTGGTCGGAGACTTGAAAACGACGGCAGCCTTTACGTACTTGCGGAATTCGGAACGGCACGCTGAAAGAGTTCGAGCGAGGTTGTTGTATCCCTGGATTAAACCGGAGCATTTCTTCGCCAGCGCCCGGAGATGCATGGTGACGACGTGGTCCGGAGAAGCGACCAGAACGCCTCTTGGGTCGAACGCAGCGACCATATACATCGCGGGTTTGGTGCTAACTTTGGCCGCAATATCAAAACATTTGCCCAAAACCATTTGATAGTCTTGCCCGTTGTTCGGGACCGGATTGAGCAACGGCTTGGCGGGGTTATGCGGCTTACCGCTGTCATTGGCCAGTGGAAGGGGAAGAACTTTATCAGAATCGTGATGCGCTATTAATAAAATCGCGCGGCACACGATTTCATTCGCTGAAACGTACCTCAGATGATTGAACTCGCGGCCAGCTACAGCAGTCCTTACGACATCTTGTACTGGGGCATAATAGTGCTGGTATTCTTGGTAAATTAAGCCGCAAATCAGCAAAGAGATAACCCAATCATCTGATAAATTCAGATAGTTTTCAACGAGCCACAGTTTCATTAGCTTTAACCCGGCATCAAAGGCAGGACACCGGTGCCTCCATACCTCAACATCTCGCGCCAGACTGGGAAGATAGTGATGCCTCCTTATGAAAGACCTGTTCGGGATCACCGAGTCCAAATAAGCATTCCACGATTGCGAAGCGGAGTCATATGCGACCAGCTGGCGATCCGGCGGGGGCATCCATCGGCCGTTTACAACCCAGTTCTCTTTCGGAGATGGATCTATCCTGCCTACTCGCAACCAAATCCTCACCACTAATTTTCTCTGGGTGTTTCCGTCTTTTTGTTGCCTCTCATTTTGCCTTCCAAGAGCGTCCAAGAAGCCAGCTTTTTGGGTCCTCACATACGCTGTAACATCCAAGTACGGGTGCGGATCGGTGGGGTCATCACTCATTTCTTTCGTGGAATGTAAAGCAACAGACCTGATACCTTTCTGTTGAAGTTCCCGCAGAATTGAAATCAAAACCGCATGCTTGGCATACGTCTGCCATTCTACAGGCTTGTCCAACCAGTCCTTCTCCGAATCGATTCTAATACCCAGCTGGGCAAGCGTACAATGCACGTTCGGGGACGGCAACACGTCCCGAGAAAGAAGTTCATGGCTACCCATTAGCCCCCGAAGGACGGTCATGCGCTCAATTTCAGTAATGGAAACACATTCCAACGAACTCAGCAACGACGTAATGTCTTGAAGAGTGTCATTAACCAACTCGTCATCGTGGTCCTGAGAACTGCTACACAACCTCAAACCACTGTTTACACAGAATAACCCGTTCTCATAACGCCGCAATATGTTCCTCAAGATGTACGTAAACATACTACACCGGATTCCCTTCGAACCAAGGTCCGGGATAACTACTTCGTTGTGCGGAGACTCCTCCCACGAACCACTAGTGTACTCCGGGTCCACCGCTAAGCAGGCACCTTCAACACCAGGAACTGTCACTTCTACTATCTTGTTTCCATCAAACAATCGACGAAATCTTTCGCAACCTTCTGAATCGTCAATATTCGGACCAAGCACCCTCTTCAACAACTCCTCCCCGGTACACAACACCTTCAGACCCAGCCACGGCATCACTTCGTCCTGACCTTGCCCGCTATCGACATCCTTCTTGACCTCATGTAGTCTGACCAAAACGGCAATAATGTCGAAATAATCAAAGGGTAAAGCATCTAATAAACTCATGATCCTCTCATGACACGGCGGGAGCAATACGGAGCCTGCTTCTGCACTTAGCCGTTGACCGTTGACACAATGCGACAGACTGGAGCATATTTCAGAGTTTACCGTGAGCTCGACGGTCGCTTCGCTTCGAGGATTCCAACTTGCGTTGAAATTTGGAAGCGACTTGTGCACCCCGACGTATTCTAGCATCGACCCAGCCCTCCACTTCAGTTCCATCAGATATGGTTGGATTCTCCAGAAGCAATTATACTCGCCCAACATCAGTCTGCAGTCAAATTCATGGTTCGATGATTTTACAGACTCCCATTTTCCCTTGCCAAAATCGCAAGTATATCTCCGAAGGGGTATGTTGTTGATGAATGTAAGAACAAGGGTCAATAAAGTTGCAGAGTCGCATGTCTTCAGCGTCTTTCTTTTGCATGCACACACGTGTGCCAAAATTAATTCCATCTCTTGGTCGCCAACATCCGTGTGTCGAAACGTATACTTTCGCCAGTTAAGCAATTGCCGCTTTACATCCTTATATATCTTGGTGGTCTTGGACACAGCTTTTGTGGTCTCCGATACCAGTTCCTCGAAGCCCTCTGCCGCGGTCATTTTCGAAGAAAAATGGGACGGGACTAGGGAGAGGGGTTGAGGGGAGGGGGCAACATGCAGCGCATTCACTCTTCAGAGATTGACATCGACGGAGATCTCCTAAAGGACGCAGAGAACACGAACCTCCTGTCGGAGAAATCTGAAACATCAGAAAGTGATGACAGCGAAAATGACACCCCCAAACTCCTTGACAGGGAAAGCCTAGAGAAACCTCGGCTAGCGCCTCTCTCGCCCCGAGCAAGAGGATCTCCAGCGGAAGGCAGGGCCGTGGCTCCGAGACCGGGCTCGCCGGCGCCCAGGGCACCGGTTGTTAAGTCGTCGGTCACTGCGGCAGAGAGGGAACCTGTGAGACCCGGCGGGGGCAGACTCGGAGCCACCCCCGGAACCTCTGCATCGCGAACGAAGCCCCTGGCTCAAGGGAAGCTGTCTCCTTCGACCATACCGCGGCTGAGCATGGAGCCCAGGAAACCTGTCCCCAGGCCAGGTGCAGGCTCAGTCTCGAGGCCTGGAGCCGGAGCTGGTGCTGGAGCCGGAGCTGGTGCTGGAGCCGGAAGACCCGGAGCAACACGACCGGGAGCTGGAACCGCCGGCACCGCTTCGATGCGGGGAGGTTCAGTCATCGGTCACGGCCGGGAAGCCGCGGACGAACCGGGAGCGACGTCGCCGCTATTCACTAGTCACCTTAAGGGGCCGTCCATCAAGAGCATGTTCGACGGCCAAACCGCCCCCCAGCCAGTAAGTCTGAGTCCAGTCGGCGGCAGTCCAGTCAGCACGCCCCGAGGCTCCATGTCGCCCCGTCTCTCCAACCCGTCATCGCCGCGAAGCCAGACCCAGTATCAACCTTCGGTTATATCGGACCCCGGTATGGCCGACCCCGGTATGACAGGCCCCGCTGCTTCCGACCAAATGGTGGACTACGTGGCCTCGGTGGCCGCGGGTCGCCTCATCTTGTTCGACGACCCCCACCCGGGAGCCTCGTCCAGATCGGCCTCTGCCCACCCCTGCTGCCCCCCGCCCTGCTGCAACGTCGGACCAGGCCATCACCACCACCACCGGCTACCGGTCTGTCCAATCAGACGACCGCCACCGCCACGCTTCCAGTGCTACCCGGCTGACTGGTCGCAAGAGCGCTGGCAATTACTCAATTTTTGGTACCGCTCCACAGAGTAGCCTCGTCCCAGATGGACGGCTCCTGCCTCTGCCTCAGGATGGCTCCTGCCTCTGCCTCAGGATGGTTCCTGCCTCTGCTCCAGTATGGCTCCTGCCTCCGCCTCAGGGTGGCTCCTGCCTCTGCCTCAGGGTGGTTCCTGCCGCAGAGCACTCTCACCTCGAAATAGTCTTTGCCTCAAGATGGGAGCAGTCTCAACATGGGCCTCTTCTGCAGGATGAGCGAGGGAATTTTGAGCGGCAAGTGGTGGAATTTATGGAAGGGTTTACTCATGCCTTCAAGCAGCTCACATCGAAGCCTCTGTCTCTCCAATCATTCACGCACCTACAGGGGCCTGTGGTGCTCCTATTTTATACAGTCATCTTTTCGTATGGTAAGACCGGAACATTTCGCCCACGTCTGATCAACTTCACCGTGCTGCCTTCGTGGACCATTCACTTTTAACCCGCACATCGCTGGAAGAGAAGAAACCCTTCGTTATTGGTTCCGTCGTTTTTGGCCCTGTCATTTTGGCCCCGTGAACAACGCCACATTGTTGCAGGCGGCCGTCGAATTTGCGACCAGGACAACTTTATCGTATTGGAGAGGACTGACCCAATGACGGTGACCGCCGAGCAAGCATTAGCCGCGCTCCACGACGTATTGCGGGTTCTGGACCTCAATCGGACCCAAGTCTCATTATTAGTGAAAGACGACAGTACGCGGGTCTTCTACCAACCAATTCAACAATGGGGGCAGCGGGTCCAGCAGCGGTATTCAGCTGCCACTGCACGACCAGACTTGAACAGCGTTAAAGTCCGAATCGTGGTCTACGATGATCCGGGGCCCAGTGTATCCGCTAGACCGCCGACCACGACTGCCCCGCAGTCCGCGACTGCCCCGCAGTCCACGACTGGCCCGCATTCCACGACTGCCCCGCAGTCCTCAACGGCCCCGCGGTCCTCGACTTCAACAGCTACTCATAACCCCCTCGCCGGTCTCAGTCAAGACCTTCATAAACATTCCGCTGGCACTTCCAGCACGAGGCCTGCAAAAGGCGGCCCCGACCTGCTGGAGGAGGTTCCAATGGGAGCGTCGGACCGAACAGCTGTCTTGAAAAGTGTGTCCAAAGAAAAAGTACTGGCCTGGGCAACAGACCGGGGAGAGCTGAAAGATATCAGGGTCCTGCTCTCCAGTCTGCAGGAGGTCAGCTCACTGTGGTCCGACCGTGTTGATCTGGGACGACTAATGACTGACGCGGATGTAAAAAGAAATTACCGGAAAGCTATTCTAATATTCCACCCGGACAAGGCCGCAACACACATGCCCGAACACCAAGAAATATTCCACTTCCTTCACAAAGCGTATGAGGTATATTCACGGAAAAACTAGGCCCACGTTCCAGTAGCTAGCGTGCATGTATGTGTCCGACGCTTCGATGTAACCTGAATGCACTCACGTGTGTGGTGTCACGTGTGTGGTGTCACGTGTGTGGTCGGCGCGTGTGTGGTCGGCGCGTGTGTGGTCGGCGCGTGTGTGGTCGGCGCGTGGTGTTGTTATCAAGCGTGTGTGTCCTGCGCGTAAATGAAACCAGTTATGTGTCGACCTAGCTTTATAATGTTTAACACGATGAAACTAAAAATTGGTAATCTACGGGCGAATTTGAAACTGAAAGCGCGCCCACATCCGCTGCCTACTCAATGGTGTAGGAGATGCGTACGGCCGGGTTAACCGCGTCCTTGTTCTTGCTTTCAAGCGCCACCCAGCCGCTATACTTGTTGGCGGTAGCCGTCTTCAAAGATACGGTAGCCTGAGCCATGAAAGAATCGCGTCCCAGCTTGTCTTCCATGATCTCCAATACCATGCTGTCTGCACTCAGTGGCAGCGAGACGTCATGTTCATAAATAGCGCTGTTTCCACACGTTGCTTTGGCGGGAGTCCGATGTTCCTTGCCAACGTACTGCACACGAACATATGATTTCTTCACATCCACACCCTTCGACTCATCAATCATAAGGTTAATAGTACCTGCAAGAACGTGGATTCGAAAGGGAACTGGACCGGTAAAACCGCGTCCAAGATGAAAGGTGTGTAAGGATAAGACGTGCAAGGAACAGACCTGCAACAAACGAAGAAAGTCGAACAAAAGAAACCCACCGAACAGCCGTGCAGTGAACCACACCTACTTGGGGCAGGACCAGTCATCTGACCGGCATCGTGGCCGTCGTTCGCCGGTACTCCTTCTCGGATACTCAACAAGCAATCTACAGTCCCTACTCAATCGTGTAGGAGATTCGCACGGCGGGGTTAATGGCGCTCTTATGTTTTGCCTCAAGCACCACCCAGCCAGCATACTTATTGGCGGTCGTCGTCTGCAGCACGATTGCGCCCTGTGCCATGAAAGCATCGGGTCCCAGCTTGTCTTCCATAATCTCCAACTCCATGGCTTCAGCATCCAAAGGCAAGGAGATGTCGTGTTGATAGACGGCACTGTCTCCTGAAGTCTTCTTGGCAGGTGTGCGGAATTCCTTGCCAGCGTACTTCACACGAACATATGACTTCTTCACATCAACACCCTTCGACTCATGAATCATAAGATTAATAGTACCTATGAGAACGTGGATTCGAAAGGGAACTGGACCGGTAAAACCGCGTCCAAGATGAAAGGTGTGTAAGGATAAGACGTGCAAGAAACAGACCTACTCGGGGCAGGACCAGTCGGTTGACCAGCGCTGGGGGGCACCGTTCCGCTGGGGGGCACCGTTCCGCTGGTGCCTTCGTTGGCTGGGTGTCCGCCTTGGTTCGGGCCACCGCTCGGATACCCGCCTTGGTTCTGGCCATCGCTCGGATACCCGCCTTGGTTCTGGCCACCGCTCGGATATCCACCTTGGTTCTTGCCACCGCTCGGATATCCACCTTGGTTCTGGCCACCGCTCGGATATCCGCCTTGGTTCTGGCCACCGCTCGGAAATCCACCTTGGTTCTGGCCACCGCTCGGATAGCTCGGATGCCCGCCTTGGTTCTGGCCACCGGCCGGATACGTGCCTTGGTTCTGGCCACCGCCCGGATAGCTCGGATACCCGCCTTGGTTCTGGCCACCGCTCGGATAGCCGTTCTGGTTGAAACTGTTGTTGGGGTAGCCGCCTTGGTTGAAACCATTGCTCGGGTAGCCTCCGGGGTGGGGGCCACGGTTCGGACAGGTGCCTTGGTTGTGGCCGTTGGCTGGATACCCGCCTTGGTTTGTACCATTGCTCGGGAAGCCGCCTTGGCTGGGTCCACGGGACGGATACCCGCCTTGGTTCGTACCATTGCTCGGGAAGCCGCCTTGGCTGGGTCCACGGGACGGATACCCGCCTTGGTTTGTACCATTGCTCGGGAAGCCGCCTTGGCCGGGTCCACGGGACGGATACCCGCCTTGGTTGGTGCCGTGGGATGGAGGGCCGCCATGAATGTGATAGCCGCCGGCGGTGCCGTTGGGATACCCACCAGTGGGACTGTTTGCGGGATATCCAGTGCTAACGCCTTGGCCAGTGCCGGGATAACCAGTGCTGGGATTATTAGTGGTACTGTAACCCAGACCAATCGGTCGAGCGCCTAGGTTGTTGTGCATGATTGATTGTGTTGTTTCTTTATTAAAAACGTGTGGTTGTTCCGATGTCTCCCTTTGGTGCCACTGAGGTCGGGGTCAGGCAGGGCGGGCCAGGACTGCGGTGAGGTAATACACTCGTCAAGCATGCAAGTTACTGAACAAAAACGGAATAAAGTCGTTTCCGCAAAAAACAGCGGAATATAGTTGGAGGAGTCGTCGTGGTGTGCAAGAGCTCCGTCCAAGGGACCATTTGGTTTGACAAGCATAGACAACCGCAACTCGCATTGATGCTCTACGTCTGCTTGAACATACACTCCTAAGCCACAGACACCTCTGGTTAAGCCAGAGCCGGTTAAGCCAGAGCCAACGCACCACTTTACAGAATCTCCTCCTACTCAATCGTGTAGGAGATTCGCACGGCGGGGTTAATGGCGCTCTTGTGTTTTCCCTCGAGTACAACCCAGCCGTTGTACTTATTGGCGGTGGTAGTCTGCAACAGGATAGCGCCCTGTGCCATGAAAGCATCGGGTCCCATCTTGTCTTCCATAATCTCCAACTCCATGGCTTCAGCATCCAAAGGCAAGGAGATGTCGTGTTGATAGATGGCCGTGTCTCCGACAGTCTTCTTCGCGGGCGTACGAAGTTCCTTGCCAGCGTACTTGACGCGTACGTATGACTTTTTCACATCAACACCCTTCGACTCATGGATCATAAGGTTAATAGTATCTACGAAGGATGAGATTCAACAATGAGGGTCAGAGGGGAGGCATGGGCTGTCCGGATATGGCAGGTTCGGTACTGGGCATTTTCCTCAGTTAGTTGTCGGTTCTGTTGTAGTAAAAATTGAGAGCCCGTATTTAATCGTGTCTCCCTTGCGCACACATCACGAACGCGACGAATGAGCACGGTTGTGTGGCAGCCGGGTAAAGGAAAGTGCGTAATTGCGGTTGACACAATACGCGAAGGAGACTGCATAAATCGTGAGTTGCCCTTCGCTTCGGAACCACTCTACGAGAAAAGGACTATTGTCTGCGCAGCCTGTCGGAGCTTGGCCGTCCAGCCCGAGTCCGGATACCTGCCATGCCCGAAGTGCAAGCAAGCGTTCTACTGCGCTGAATGCTGGAATTCAGGTCTCAGTGCCCGCAGCCATCCCTGCGAGCTGTATCGCAGACTCGAGAAGATGACTGAAGGAACCACAAAGCCAGAAGAGGGATCCAAACCAGAAGAAGGAAGAGCTGAAGGGACGGCGACGCTCACAGATCACCAACGAACGTTGTCCGCACTGGCTTACAGGTGCTATCAAGCTCTGACCAGGGATAGAGACTTCTCGGATAACTTACTCGTGGCACAAAATTCTACGTCGGAACCTAACGTTACGTCAGACTCCCAAAATGGTACTACAGGACCGTTTCAGGTTGACGCCGCACGGTCGGGAGGCTGTGGTGACTTTGTGGCCCAGTGCCACCACGGGACGCTGCGTGGTTGGATGGATGCAAAATTAATAGTCGTGTCCGACGTCATTGACGTTCCAATAACAGCCTTGCGGGCCATGTTGGTCCGGTTCCAGATGAATGCGTTTTACGCAACGGATGCGTCTTTCAAGCCGCATAGCGCGTGTGTTTATGTGCTAAGTAGTTTGTTGAACCACGCGTGTGTGCCTAACGCAATATGCCAGTACAACGGAGTCGAGGTGGCAATAAGGGCTCTGCGACGGATTGAGCCGGGCGAAGAGGTATGCATTGCGTATGTCGACCTGCTTAGGCCGTATCCCGAGCGCAAAGAAGTTTTGGACATGGACTACACGTTTACCTGTAAGTGCTCCGCCTGCCGACCTCGTCTACTGCCGGCAGCCGACACCACGGAGGGCCAAAGGGCTGGCGCTCTAAGCAGAGCGAGGTACGCGGAGTTGGCAAGCTTCCTGCGCAGTTTCGCAATCAGTCCCAAACTGAACGCTCTCTTGACGCCCAACAGGTACGAACTGTTTATGGACCCCGACAGGGGCCTTTACACGGACTGTCAAGACCAACTAGTCATCGAAAAAGATCTGCTGGGATTTTGGAACGGCGTGCGGAACGTAGAACTGCACAACCGCCTGGTTCAAGGATGCAAGACACTGGACGAGCTCAAGACGAAACACGGCTCGTTTCATGCACACCAAAAGCAATGGGGCAAAGAGCCGGACGAGCCGTTAGTGAGTGCGCAGCAGATGGAGCAGCTGATACTTACTCACTGGCGCCTATGCAAGCAGTTAACTAGCAACGAGGAGTTCACTGCGAGCTCTGTAAACCCGCTGAACAAGTCACTGTACGGCTTGAGGAGTGAGCTATACTCGCTACTGTATGATGCGGACGCGCTAGAGCTGGCTTTGGTTCAGGCGGAGTTCTTACTCACGACCCTGACCTTCGTGTACGCAGACATACCTAATCACCCCCAAATTGCATTGCTGCTGAACGCCTACTTGGACATCCGCCACAGCTTGAACAACTCACCCGCCAACGTCCAGGAACTTTACAAGCGAGTGCATAGAGCCTACCGGGCGGTGTACGGAGGCGAACATGCGTACACGCGAGTTGTGCAAGAGAGTCTGGCCGCGCCGTAGCCGAGACCGCTTCCCGGCTGGAGCTAGCTCAGGGGCCAGCTCCCGGGTGGGGAAGGGGGGGAGGGATTTTTGTTTGGGTGAAATGGAGGCGGTGGCACGTATCATGGTGGAGGACCTGTTGGACTTGGAGGCGGAGGAGCAGGAGCAGACGGCGGTGTGGGGTCTGATGGACGACCCTTGGAAGGAGAGTGGGGCGAAGAAGGACAGATTTGAGTGGCGGAAGGGTGTGGATTTGTACGTAGACAAGGAAGGGCGCATAAGTCGGCCGTACCTGGCGGACTTAGATCCTGCGCGAGCAGATGGTACAGTGGTGTTGCGCTCGGTGGTAGTTTTGATAGACTACGGAGAGATGTATAGTGCGACGGACACGACGAGTACGAGTGGGGCGACGTCTGGGGACTTTATCGTGCCGTTGCGTATATCCTCGGTGGCGGTGGTGAAAGAGTTCATTGACGACTTTTTCGAACTTTGTCCTTTGGGAGAACTGGGAGTTGTCCTCATGTACAACAAGACCGCCCACGTCTTGACTGCCGCGTTGACCTCGAACCACCAGATGCTCAAGGATCTGATTGACGACGAGATTAGTCGCCTCGAGTCCGGGCGATCAGGCACAAGTCGTTCAGAGGGCGCGGTGCGGAGCACCCTAAATGGCCCCGAGGCGGCGCTGGAGGACGCGGTGGTTATTGACGGAGTTCGAGCGGCCCAAGTGAGTTTACAGGCTGGCCTCGAGAAATGCTACCTCCTTCTCAATAACGGTAAATCCTACTCACGCAAGGAGGTCCTATGCATCTGGAACAGTACTGCTACTCACGACGCTGGCCTCATCGGAGACACGATCGACGTCCTACGGACCCACAATATTCAAATCAATGTCATCTCACTAACACCTCATCTGCACGTTCTGGAACGTCTTACTAGCACCTGCCACGGTGATTACACCGTCATTCGTAACGAGGCCGCCCTCAAAGATCAACTCATCACCTACTCCAAGGCCCAGGCACCCTCCACCGACCTTGACAACAGCAAGGATCTGATTCCCATCGGCTTTCCCGAATGGGAACAGGGCCTCTGCGCCGCACTCTGCACCTGTCACAACCAACTGAAATTCAACTCCTACGCCTGCCCCCGCTGTCTAGCACGCAACTGCTCCATCCCCTCCAACTGTGCCGTCTGCGGACTCCTCCTCGCCAAAAGCCTAGACATCGCACGCTGCTCCAAAACCAGTTACAACGTCCCACCCTTCCAACCCGTAACCGCCCGCACCTCCCTTCCGGCTGCCTTGCATCGACCCCTCTAGACCCGTCCTGAGAACACACACACGTTTGTAGTTACCACCGAACAAAAAGGACTGCTACATGTGCGACCGCGTTGTCCTTAGCGGCGCTGGAGTTTGTCTCAAATGCAACCAAGTGTTCTGTCTGTAAGTTCAAACACTAAGTTACGACAGCACTACACTTCACCACGTTTCTTCACCAAAAAGAGAGGGTCGAAAGAGGTTTATTGACGAAAGGGGAGGGGGACGCGTGATTTGTCGCTTATAGGGATTGCGATGTGAACATTCATGAGTATCTGTTGCCATGTCCGGGCTGTCAATACATCGACCTGCTCAGCAGACAAGGCCTCCAAACGCGGTCAACAAAGCCGGAGCCTCCATTGCCTGAAGATCATCCGCAATATAACTTCTATCAGGATCAACTCAAACTTATTCAAGAAGATTAATCGTCTCCCCCCTCTCCCTTAAGGTTAAGGACTCACCCCCTTAAGGTTAAGGACTCACCCCCTTAAGGAATTGAAAGTTAAGCAATCGCGTAGGGATCTTGAGTGGGGTCTGATTTGCTCATGAAGAGTCCGTCTAGTGTCTTCATATCTTGGTCCTCGATTTGGAATGAAAAGAGGTCCATATTGCTTCTAGCTCGATCGGGCTTGCTGGTCTTGGGTAGAACAACGAAGCCCTTTTGTAAAGCCCATCTTATGAGGACATTTCCTTCTGGCTTTTTGTATTTTGCCGCAATCTCGGCGACAATGGGGCCTTTCTCAGGTCTTCTGCGTCCTCCAATGGGTCTATAAACGGAGATGGCAATATTGTTATTGTCGCAAACTTCTACAATGTCTCTGAAGCCCTGGATCCAGGGCGACCCTTCAACTTGGTTGCACATGACAGGAACAGAGGGTGCGGTTATATCCGCAGCCCTCTTCTTTATATCCTCGATCAGGGGCGTCAGATGTTGGGGCATAAAATTGCTTACTCCGATAGCGCGTGTCTTCTTTTCCCGGTACAACTTCTCCAACACTTTCCATGCACCTAAGCGGGTTTCCGCATTTTTCGGGTCCTTCATTTGTTCCTCAGTAAAGTTTGGCAGGTTACAATGAGGACCAGGCCAGTGCAATAGAATGAGGTCGGTTTGGTCTCTCTTATATGCCTTCAAATGCGCTTCCACAGATGATCGTATCTTCTCTTCACTATCAAAGTCGCTTGGCCATATTTTAGTCGTAACAAAAATGCGACGGTCATCCGACGGCTTACCATGGGGTAGAACAAAATTCGCGTTGTACTCATCATCCGTAACGACCTTGAACCTCGCCGGAACATGATCAGTATTCATCGAACCAAACTTCTTCAAGTCTACCCGACCATCCGCACCGGCCCCCTCGCAATACTGGTTCAAAACTGGGCCCAGCTCTTCTTCATTCGTGTAATATCGAGCACCATCCAAACCTCGACAACCAGACGCAAACGATGCGCTAAACACTTCACCCGCGTCCGATGCCTGTAGCTGCCATGTACCCAAATTCACTGCCGGGAACAGCACACCATTGGACAATTCCTTGCACACTACAACCATCCCAAAAAATCTAATATTACCAAAATACAGCCGACGACGACGACGACGCCTCACAGCCGTGGTCGTCACCGTCGTCGGCTGCGAGGCACGCGTCCTATCGAGGCGCCAAGTACTTGTCATATAGGTTCTCGCTCTCAACACTCATAGATAACGTTTTCTGGCGCTTTTGGTCTTCAACCATTTTGCTAACCGCCCGAGCTGTTTCCGGGTCCAGCTCCTTAAGGCTGCTTATCTCCTGCAACAAGAAGCTCAAAGTAAAACAGGGAGGGAACCAAGATCGTACGCACGCCGCTCTTCGGAACAACGACGAGGAGTCCCGAAGAGCGACTGGGGGGCCCGAAAACCGATGGTGCCAGCCTTTGGAGCACAAACCTGTGTGCACACACGTGTGCTGCGTGCATAAATAGGTGTTATGAATAAAGTGAGTGTAACATGGGCCCCGCTTGTTGAGGATTCTGACCTCTGGTTGTATCGAATCTTGCGGAATTGATTCAGCGTCGGAAGAGAGTAGTTTAAGCCACCAGGTATTGTGATGCCTTTTGCATAGCATGATCTCGATGGTTCTTCCATCCACAATTGTCCAGGTGCTATCGGCTGTATCAATGGGTTCAAAGAGGTGTCCAGCCAAGACGACGTGGCAGTCAAGCTTGACAATCACTTCGTGGGTGAGGAGCTTGATGCTTATTCGTCCGAGCCCAATTCGTTGTCTTGTTGGAATCACGATGTCAACGCTGTCCAACGTCTGGGTCCATCGATACCGTTTGTAATTCATTCCGTTGGGCGGGTGTGGGATTCCCTTGCTGAGTTGATAAAGCAGATCATTTTCCTCCGACGAGGATACCGTCTCAATTACCACCCCTCCAGACCCACCACTGAAACGTTCGCTTTGTACACCCAGAGTCCGTCTGGTTTTAGTTGTGGGTCCTGGATCGAGTCGGGGACTAGGCGGTGTCGGCTTCGGCGCTGGCAGATATTTGTTAAACGCTCGTAGCACATATTCCTTGCATTCGTCTTCATGCTCGTAAAAATCAGTACGTCGACCCAGGAACTCGAAGAAACCGTCCAACAGCTCCTGCACCCCTCCACTCAGGTGACAAGCGGTGGCAAGCACCTGATCCAATTCATGAGTCATGGCAAAAAAAGAGTTGCCCGCCGGTAACGAAAGCTCCAACTGACCTGCGGATAGGTAGGTTCCCAACCAGTTGCACGCCTCTCGAGGCGCACGACTGCTTTGGCAAACAACTTTTGTCAAGTCCGGTGCTGCCGAAACCCGGTTGCTAGCTTGCCGTCTGGCTTCTGGTGGTGAGCTATGAGTGCCGCCCAGCATCTGTTGTGCGCCTGACACGCTTGTACACACCCGCTGCATGAAGTAGGGGGTGGAGAGGAGGGAAATGATAGGTCTTCAGCCAACCAGGTAAGCAAAGGGAGTGTCCCGGGGGCCGTACGCCGGAGGGAAGGGGAAATATTGCGGGGAAAAGAGCCCTTGAATCGGGGAAAAGAAATATTGTCAAGTCGGGGAGAAGAATATTGTCAAGTTGGGGAGTGTCGGCTGGACAAGGAAATGTTCAGCTTCAGGTGTAGACGGTCCGTAGACAATTAAGTTGTTGGATGGGGTGTCGTTGGTGCTTGAGTACTGCGTGGGGTTGAGGTTTTGGGAGGTTGGTTTGTGTGGGACAATACGAGTGGGAGTTTTTGTCAAAAAAAGTGTGGCGGTGTGTTTGAGGCAGCGGACGAGAAAAGAAGATGCCCCCTAAGTTCGATCCTAATGCCGTGTCTTACGTGAGCCTTCGTTGCTATGGTGGCGAGGTGGGTCCCGCTGCCGTCTTGGCGCCGAAGCTTGGTCCTTTGGGTATTGCGCCGAAGAAGGCTGGTGATGCCATTGTCAAGTCTACTCAGGAGTGGAAGGGTGTGAAGGTAGCACTACGACTGCGCATTCAAAACCGTAATGTCACTTGCGAGGTTATGCCCACGACTACTGCCCAAATCATTAAGGCACTTAACGAACCCGTGCGCGACCGCAAGAAGGTTAAGAACATCAAGCACTCCGGCAACCTTAGCTTAGACACCATCATCGATATTGCCCGCACTATGCGCAACGCTGACCATGGCATCCCCTCTCGCACTTTTGCCGGCACTGTGCTCGAAGTCCTCGGCACAGCCAACGCCGTTGGCTGCACCGTTGATGGCAAGAAACCCACCGAAGTCCAACAACAGATCAAGAACCAAGAAATCGACATACCCACCGCTTAATCGCCACCCCGCTTAATCGCCACCGCGTTTAATCGCCAGGACACACTTTTTTTCCAATCCGAACCTTGACACCTACGATAATAAATCTTTGCACCGTTTTCTTTTAATGAATAGCCGATACAGGGTCAATCTCAGATTACTACAGGAAGCCGCCGAACATGCGGCCGGCAAAGAAAATATACAAGTTCAAGTCCAAGAATACAACCAACTTCTCAGAAAACAGATCGACTTACTCAATCATTACTGTACCATCAAATATGAAGAACTTCTCTTAGAAATACAAAACGTTGCGAAACACATCAGGAGAGTTACCCAAATAGCATCAGAAGGAAACGACTGTAAGCCCTCCACCGCTGCATCCTCTCCGCTGCAGCTGATTTGCCCTTCACCGTTGCTGTCTTCCTTCACTACTCGCTTCTGGACTTCTCTTCGGGTTGTGTTGGGCACCGAATTGTCTGGACCTGTTGACTTCACTTTTGAATCATCCAGCGCATTTTTGTTTCGTTGAGCGCACGCGTGTGCAATGTAGTAATATCGGAGAAAGAGTTGAGCATTATATTATTGTCGAGCGAGCGCCAGTTGACGGCCGCTGGAGAGGATGTAGTGGCCTTAGAGCTTTGTATCCGCGAGAATTTTCAGTTGTTGATCAAGTCTATAATCAATTTTGACAACATAGTGATGACGTCAGCAGCTCCGTGGTTTATAGCTCAGCTAACTCGGGAAGGATTCGCAAATGTTAACAGTGACCAGTTGTTGATAGCGTTGTCGTTGTGTTGGGAGAAATGGCGTTTGTTGGAAAGTCGTGACTGGATGGACAAGAATAACGAGAATGCTTGGAAGCCCCCTGAAAGTTTTGTGCGGAACACAATCAAGTACTGGATTAGGCCGGACAAGGTATGCAAGTGCAAGGCGTCGATAGTCCGTTACCTGCCTTACTTGATATTTGGTCTGTCGATAAAGGAGTTGAGCTACATATTGGATCCCTACGAGATTGAGTCGGAGAAGCCGAAACAAGAAGTGTGCGACAGTCAGCTTGTTAGTAGTGTGTACTTTGATTCGGACAAAGGGTATTCATATCAGCGGCGTATTCAGCGGATGGAGAAGGCTGAATTGATACGGTTCAGGTGGTACGGTGAAAATGCGCAGACGGTTCATGACAAAGCCATTCCGATATTTGTTGAAAGAAAGACACATCATGAGTCATGGTCTGGCCAAGACTCCGTAAAGGAAAGATTCTCATTACCGCAAAAGAAGATATATGATTATATTAGGGGACAGCTAGACCTGGACCAATGGGTTCAGCACCTGGATCCGGAGAGCAAGAAGACCAAAAATATTCTCAAGTTGGGTAAAGAGATTAGCAAATCGATTCAACAGCGCGATTTACAACCAATGTTACGTACGTCTTACTTGAGATCTGCCTTTCAAAGATCTGACAGGAATGATATCAGGTTCAGTCTGGATACTAATTTATGCATGGTGGATGAGTATAATCCTGAGTTGTGGGATAAAATGGGACCAGTAGATGAGGGTGAGGAATTGCCTCCTAAGGGCGTTCCGTCTAAAGTCTCGGATGATGACTTTGATGGACATAATCCGGGGGATGGTCGTAATCCGGGGGGTGACCGTAGAGCGGTCGTGGGCAACATGGCGGAAAGAGGCCGTGGTGGCAAGTATAGGCCATGGTGCAAAACAGACCACGAGATTCTGAGTGGCAATCAAGTAGTCAGGTTCCCTTATGCGGTATTGGAAGTAAAATTGCAAACTGAGCAGCCTCAATGGGTGTCGAAGATGTTGTATGACTGTGGGGCAACTATGGTCTATAAGTTCAGCAAATTCCAGCACGGGTTCGCCTTCTTGCATAGGAACATGCTTCCGCCCGATGTGCCGTTGCCTCACTGGATCGAAGACTTTGAGAATCGCGGGTACGTGCAAGGCTTCCAACTGCCAAGTGTTGGCACTAACCAACTTAGCATGAGCCAAGGACGAAGGGGCCTACTCAGTGGCACCATACCCGGTGCCCTGAGGTTACGGGACGGCGGAATGAATGACAGCTTCTATGTTAACACCGTCTATTCCAGAGGTCGCAACGTCAAAAAATACGACCCCAAGTCCATCTTCGCTTGCGAACGAACTCTCATGCACTATTGCAGAAAGGCCCTCTTCGTCTTCGCCGCCGGACTCGCGGCTTTCCAAAAGGGCTGGAACGCCTCCGGCATCGCAGCCATCGTCTCCGGAATGGCCTGCGTTATCTACAGCTTCCTAGTCTACAAAACGAGAATGCACAAAATCGTCAAGTAAGACCGACACGCTAAGCTGACGTGACACGTGAACCACAGTCTGCGTTTCATGCCAACAAGGCATTCACACTACCCCACCACACTATGTCACGAACAATACGCTTCCACTCCGTGCCACAACCGCACCGTGCCACAACCGCACCGTGCCACAACCGCACCGTGCCACAACCGCACCGTGCCACAACCGCACCGTGCCACAACCGCACAGTGCCACAACCGCACAGTGCCACAACCGCACATATTATAACGTTGTTTTGCTCAGTCGGCTAACCAAGGAAACCCATCGCGAACGGCTCGACGACCGACACGCACCCTTAATAGCTACGGGTCTTGTTGCCCTGGGTTTGTTAGGCGGCCTAACTCTGCAAGTGTACGAACAAGTTGCTCACATATAACACTCGGTGCTGATCTTCAATGCTGGCCCGTCCCCCCCCTGTTCCGTGCTAGGAGAGGGAGGGAAACCCTTTCCCTCCCTTAATGTACTTGCTAAGTACGCCGTTAGGTCGGGTTTTAGGAAAAAAGGGTGTTGCGAGGTCGTTTGGATTTGGGTAGGCTGGCGCTGAATATCTTTGCAGCTGCTCTGCTGCTCCCGTCCTCAACCACTCGAGCCTTTTTGTCCAGCGACCTGCTGCGAGCATTGGACCGGGCTGATGGAATCTCAGGCTGCTTTTCAGCCGGTGGATTTTCTTCCAACTGCACTCGTCGCCGCGGCTCTGCACCGGGCGCAAATCGTTTTCGGCGCTCCGCCACTCGACTCTCTTCAAGCGCACGTCGGTCATCCGCCCCCGTCCGTCTGTCATTTATCTCGGCTCGCCGCTCCTCAGCCAGCTTGCTGTCCCGCAGCCTCCGTTCTTCGTCCGCTCTTCGGTCGTCCCTCTGGTCGTCCACCTTCCGGCCCACTTTTCGGTCCTCTCTCCGGTCGTCAACTTTCCAATCGTACACCCTCCGGTCGTCAACTTTCCGGTCGTCCACTTTCCTGTCGTCAACCTTCCGATCATCCGACCTGGGGCCATCTGGACGTCTTTCCTCTCTCGGGCGGAAGGGTTCTGGGCGCCGTCCTTCCTCGGTCCGGGTGTCCTCCGACCGTCGTGGCTGTTTCTCCCTCTCCGGCCGCTCGGTCGCAGGGCGCTCATTGTTGTGAGTCCGCCGTAAGTCCAGGCCTCTGTCCTCGTTCCGAGCCTGTAGCAGGTCTTCCGGCGATAACACTGGCGCCCTGACTTCGTCGGCATGACGTTCATTGTTAGCATACCGCTCATTGTTCGCGTAATGCTCATTGTTCGCACCTCGGGCGTTGTTCGCACCTCGGGCGTTGTGCCGCACTTCACGGCGCTCCTCCGCGCCACCGTGCTTCTTCGAAGCCCGCGACGTGAAGCCTTCTCGTGGAGTGAAATCATCTCGCGCTAAAATGGGCACCTGGTCCGGCCCGCGTCCGGAAACTTGCCTTGAGCGACCTTCTCCACGACCCTCTCCACGACCTTCTCGTCCGTCACTTCGACTTAGACCCGGTTGGTAGTCCGACCTAAAATCGGCTCTGGGGTCAGCCCTGCTCACGGTCCTCGGATCTGCTCTTCCGGGGGGTCTACCATCAAGTCTAGGGTCAGGTCTGTTCTCCGGCCGTCCTGCTTCCTTCCTTTGCGGTCTGTACTCATATGAAGTCCGGGGAGGTTCGGGACGAGGCGATTCTGTCGGCCTCGGGTTTCGGTATTCATATTCATAAATCTGCACAGGTCTCTGCTCGCGTCGCGAGTCGTACTCCAGCCGAAGCTGCGCCGGGTCAGGCACGGCTCCCCTGGTATTAAATCTTCGTTCGGTAGGCGGAAGCAGCTCGGTCTGTTCAGGAGCGGCGGGTCGGGCGAACCTCGGAGGAGGAATTCTGCTTGAAGGAGGCGCGCTACCAGTGTGGATGCGTTCCGAGGGGCGGCTGGGCTCGTAATGCCGTGAGGCCGGACCCACGCGGGGTAGCCGCGGATCGGGCACCCGCGAGTCGGGCACCCGCGTGTCGGGCACCCGCGTGTCCGATTGTCGCACACCCGTGTGTCGCCCGTCGGGTAGTGGTCGCCCGTCAGATGGTGATCGACCACCGGGTGGTGGTCGCACACCCGCGTGCCGCGGGTCCGGGTCTGGAGGAGGAATCGGCGGGTCTATATGAGCCGCGGTCGGGTCCATATGAGCCGCGGTCGGGTCCATACGAGCCGCGGTCGGGTCCCATGAGGTCCTGGGTGTGTGCGAGTTCTTGGATCGCAGCTCCGGTCGTGCGGCCTGTCGTGAGTCTGGTCGTGAGTCTGGCCGTGAGTCTGGCCGTGAGTCTGGTCGTGAGTCTGGTCGTGAGTCTGGTCGTGAGACTGGTCGTGAGTCTGGTCGTGAGTCTGGTCGTGAGTCTGGTCGTGAGTCTGGTCGTGAGTCTGGTCGTGAGTCTGGTCGTGAGTCTGGTCGTGAGTCTGTTCGTAAGTCTGGTCGTGAGTCTGGCGGTGAGTCTGGTCGTGAGTCTGTCGCAGTCAGCTTGGGCCGTGAGTCGGGATCGAGTGGGGTGGTCTTGGGGCGAGTGGCTTTGCCGCAGTATTCTTCGACGACCTTCAGTGGTCCCGCGAGGCCTCGTTCGTCGAGTGATTGTAGTGCTTGTGCCTGGAGTTGTTGTACAGCGCGGAATTGTTGTTCGTTAAGTCGAGGTAGTGTAGCGGCCCAGGGTAGAAAGAAGTTGACACGGAGCATCCGTGTCCATTGCGTCTTGTTCCATACGTTCCCTTGCCGGAGGGCCGTCCAAAGTCGCTCGATCGCCTCGCGTTGTTTTTCGTCTCCGGTGCCGGCGTTTTTGCTGAGACGCGCTAAGACATGTGCGAGACCCGTGGGTGCCGGAGCGGCACCTGGAGCACGGGAGAAGTGCGCCTCGCTGTTCAGACGCTGCACCACCGCCTGCTTCTGTTGAGGAGCCAGAGGAATCGGCGCGTCATCTGACACACTCGTGCTTAAAATGCCCGCAATTGGCTGCGCCTTACCCGGTAATAAGACCAGGCAGTTGAACCGTGACAGCCACTGTAACTCCACCAACAGGAAGGCACCGCCCCCCGTCCCAGTTCCGGCGGCTGTCCCCGCCACCGGGACCGGGACATCTCGGAGCCAGAGGTCGACGAGTGGTTTGAGTGAGGGCGTGTTCTCGAGAGGCGGGGGCGGAACGGAGTCGTCGGCGGCGCAGAACCAGAGACGGTGGACCTTGGCGGTACCGGGTGAGACAATGGAGGTGCCGCCGCCGCCGCGAGCAAGAACGCAAAGTTCGGGCGGGTCGGCGAGGAGTTTTTGACAGAGCGGGTAGTTGGGTGAGTACGGCAGTACGACGTAGCCTTCTTTGTGAACGACGGAGAGTTGTTGCGGTTGCACGAAGAGCAGCCACATCTCGGTGGTTTCGGCGGCTGCGTCTGCGCGGTCGGCTTTCTTCTTGGCGTCCGCGGCGGCGGTGCGGCCGTCGCCGCTGCGCCCATCACCGGCACGGTCGGCTTCGAGTCGGGCGACCATAGCGGCCAGGGCCCGGTTGGGTACGAATGAAGTGACAGTCTTATTTCCGCAGGCGGGACAGGGCGCGGGGATGCCTTCAGCGACGAGGGTTTCAGCGCACACTTTACAGACACTTCGGTTCGAACAAGAACGCGTGCTGCAGCGAGCTAGAAGGGGTCCACGGGCGATGCCACGACAGCGTGCACAACGCAGTCCTTCAGGCACGACACTCCGCGCTTCGCTACGCGTTTCCTCGCCCTTGACCCAAGTACCCACTGCTTTAGAACTGGCATGCACAACGTCCGGTACTTGGCCCCAAAGCACACGATTTACAACCAAGTCGGAGCCTGGCATTATCAACGCATCATCGTCCTCCAACTTCTCCAACTGACCCTCACCTCGAGCTAACAACAACTCCAAGTCGAACGTACGCGCGAACTCCTTTTCTAAACCTAGGTCTCGCGCAACTAACACCTTCGCCTCCGCCACACTCACCGCACCTTTGATCGCCAATCGGTGCGCCTCCGTCTCGTACGACGCACGGAATGTAAGGACCTCCATCCCGCTACATAAAGAATTTCACCACACAAAATCCCTCCATGGGCCGGTCACCACGGGCCAGATTAACACGGGCCGGTCACCACGGGCCAGATTAACACCAGTGCACCGGAAGCCAACGCACCGGAGGCCAACGCACTGGAGGTTGACGTACCGAAGGTTGACGTACCGAAGGTTGACGTACCGGAGGTTGACGTGCCGGAGGTTGACGTACCGGAGGTTAACGCACCGGTGACCAGGCCGAACCCGGCTTTTGCACCACGAACTTAAGACGCAAATCCCTGAGAACTTGCCACACGCACTCGAACTATCGCTGTCCATATCGGTCTGCCAACAACGGCTCACAACCCCCAAGGCCTGACACTCCCCCCACTGACACCCTCCCTCCCCCTGACGGGAACCATGCAGCAGCACTATTCATGTTCAGACAACCAGGCGCCCGCCCTTCCTCACTGTGCGATACTACTTCTTAAGCAAATGATTTAATGAAACAGTTGAGGGCAAAGAAGCCGAGCCCCGCGGCGGTTCAATGTATGCAGTTGACGTAACTAACCTCGGCGTAACTAACACGTCTCGATGACATTGACAAGCACAGTGATTTCCAAGGACTGTCGCAAACTCACTCAATTGCCCCCGGAAACCCAGTGGCCCTGCAAACCTAGTGGCATAGACCAACCCGTCAGTTGCTCAACCAACCCGCTTAAGCAGTCAAGGCCATGATGGTCTCGACGAGGTCGCCATTATGGGCCCGGAGCGTCTCGACGACCACCTTCTTGGTCTTGCCCGTTTGCTCCACGGCCATGCGGATGTCCTCCTCGTCAAGTCCGGTGGTGTCGACTTCCGGTTCAGCAGCGACCGCGGGCATCTCCGTAGGCGCAGCCTCGGTCTTGGGCGCTTGGCTGTCAGCGGTGATGGCCGCGGCTTCCTGTGCCGCAGCCGCACGCGATTGAGCCAACGCCTGCTGCTGCGTGAACATCTGGTAGGTGCGCGCTAGTTCCTGCTGCATGTTGTGTATGCGGAGCGGGCCCAGTACCACGTAGGAAGGCACGGCACCGGGGACCTTAAACACACGCGGCGCGTCAATGATTACGGGGGCCTAAAAAACATCGTGTGTGTGTGCACACAGTGTGTATTCACACAGTGTCGTGAATGGAGTGTAGTGAGTGTGTGTTCCCACACATCGTGGTGAGCGCGTAATGAGTGTGTGCGTACGTCCTTGGGTCTCCGTATTTCGACCTTGGTGATATCGGTGACGGGTTCGAGGCCGAAGCGCTGTAGCGACTTCCAGGCCCGTTTTTCGCTGCGGCTCATGTTGTCCATCGTGGGCATGGTTTTGGTCTCGGTGCTCATTTCTGCGCGAAAAAAAAGTTGGGAAAAATGTTCGATCTGGCAGTTGTCGGAGCGGGTCCGGGCGGTTATGTCGCGGCCATCAAGGCGGCACAGGCGGGGTTGCGAGTGGCGTGCCTGGAGCGGCGCGCGTTGGCGGGGGGTACATGTTTGAATGTTGGTTGTATTCCTACGAAAACAATGTTGCACATTACGGAGTTGGCTGAGCAGGCGGGTCAGCAAGCCAAGGTCCTACGAGACAAACCGGGGTCGGGGGTGGAGTTGGCTAAGTTGGTTAAGCACCGGGAGCAAGTCGTACAGCAGCTGGGGAAGGGTATTGGGTTCCTGTTCAAGAAGAACAAGGTGGAGGCGTTGTGGGGTGAGTCCGCCCGCTTCGTGTCGCCGACCAAGCTGGCGTTTGGCAACCGCGAGGTGGAGGCGAAGCACGTCATAGTTGCTACGGGTTCGACGCCTGCGGAACTGCCTGGGCTCAAGATTGACGAGAAGCACATACTGAGCAGCGACGGGGCTTTGTCATTGACGCAGGCGCCCAAGAAGCTCTTGGTCGTAGGAGGGGGAGTCGTTGGCTTGGAATTTGCCACCGTTTTCAGACGACTCGGAAGCAGTGTCGAGGTCCTGGAGTTCTTGCCTCAGATTGGTGGTGCCTTGGACACGCAGGTTGCACAAAGTTTGCGCAAGATTCTCGAAAAGCAAGGAGTCAAGATACACACGGGCGTGGCGGTGCAGGGAGCCACCGTCGAGGGCGACCACGTCACTGTTACCGCCAAGGCGAACGGAACAACGATGCAGTTTGCTGGTGACAAGGTCTTGGTGTGTGTGGGACGGCGAGCAAACACGCAAAACCTAGGCCTGGAAGAATTGGGGGTCGAGAAGGACCGGGCGGGCCGCATCCTGGTCGACGAGCACTACAATACTAATGTCGCACCCATTTTGGCCATTGGAGACTGCATACCTGGCCCCATGTTGGCGCACAAGGCGGAAGAAGACGGCGTGGCTGCAGTCGAGAACATCCTCGGACACCCCGCCAGCAATCACTTCTACAAATACGTGCCGGCCGTCGTCTACACTTCACCCGAGTGCGCGACCGTTGGTGCCACTGAAGACGAACTGAAGCAAGCCCGAGTTGCGTACAAAGCGGCTTCCTTCCCGATGGCTGCGAACTCCAGGAGCAAGTGCAACGGACACACGGACGGATTCGTTAAGGTGCTCGTGGACCCCGCTACCACCCGCATCCTAGGTGCCTCCATTATAGCCGAATGCGCTGGAGAAATGATAACGGAACTGACACTTGCCGTCAAGTACGGAATCACCGCTACACAACTTGCAGCGACAATACACCCTCATCCGACCATCTCCGAAGCTGTCAAAGAAGCGTGTCTGGCCGCGTCCGCCAAGGCCATCCATCTCTAAACGCGACTTTTAATTTTTTGAGGATGACTATCGTCCTCGACATTAACACGCGCTTTTCAGACGTGGGCCTCGCCGGGGAGGCCTCACCTTCCATCATACCCTCAGTATCAATACCGCAGCCGTTGGCTTCGATCGCAGCACGTGTTTCCCACCCGTGTTTACTACCCACACGTGTTTCCTATCAGGTCTCAATACTAACACGTATTTAGTTCATCGGATACCCAGTTAGTCCTGCGGGCTTGGACGTCAAGGAGATAGGGTTCGTGCCATTGGAGTCCGAGCGGAAGCTGGACCACGTTGACGCATTACCGGTGCTGGATTTCGCGGCGAGCGGTCTGGGAGGTGGAGGAGATAAGTTGAGGTACAACCAAGACGCGCTGGCGGTTTTATGTCGGTATGTGACGGAGCAGCATGTGGGCGAACGGGAGCTGTTATTGGTATGCCCTTCATTGTGCGGGCCGGAGTTCAGGTCTGCGGTAGCGGAGGTGCTTTTCGAGACGCATGGCCTTGAGCGCATCTTGCCGCAGCGAAGCAGTGTGGCGGCGGCCTTCGGCTGCGGACGCGTGAGCGCGGTGGTGCCAGACCTGAGCTGTCAGTACGTGCAGGTGAGCACGGTTCAGGAGGGGCATGTGCAGAGCGAGGCGCACGAGGTGACTCGCGATGCTTACGTTTCCATTGAGCAAGTGCCACTCGCCTTTCCCTACGACGCAAAAACAAACCCCTTTGTTTCGCAATCTTTTCTGGAGTTCGCCAAATATTATAGAGTCTACCTACCTGCTCTCCGCCGTCCCCCTGTTGAAAGCTGCGTTGCGCCAGATGGGACACACCTGCAATGCACACAAGCACACCCGGAAGTGGACGCGGCTGGGCTAGCGGGGGTGGTGGAACGGCTCGCAGGCGAAGTGACGCGACGAGTCACAAACTTCGACGTTCTCTCTGCCGTCGTCCTGGGCGGAGAGGTTCCGCACTTACTCCAGTTCGACCAGTTGACAAGTGACATGCATGTCGGAGGTCTGCCCTACATACAAAAGGCCGCTGGCGGAACCGTTGGCAGGGGCTGGCGCTTCCTTTCACACGACCGGAGCGCGTGGTTTGGGGGCAGCATACTCGGCAGCCTTTCCATTTACGCTCAAACAGCCGTCGACCGCTCACAATGGAATGAACACGGAACGTCCATTTGGGAGAAGTCTGGACTCTGCTGAAGTCTGGCTTGGAATGAGGGTCATTTTGGCAAGCTTCAGCGTCAGGAACACCCTCCGGCTCATCGGCTGCCAGCTCATCGGCTGCCAGCTCATCGGCTCCTTGAAGTTCTGAGTATTTCACCTCCATTTCGGCTTTCTTTCTGTCTCTCTCCTTTGCCTCTTTGGAATTCGGCGGGAACGTGAGATAGCTTCCGAGCTGACTATCCTCGATGTCCCGGTATCCGTGACCGCACCACCGAAGTAAAGCACCCACTTCACCTCGTTCTTTCCAGGACAAGCTCTGCTCATATTCATTGATCTGGACTCACGACCTTCGGATCGAAGTCTCCTGCCATTCTTTTCGCCCTTCAGTCCACATGCTACTTCATAAACCCCGAAATGCTCGCCTGGTTCGTCCGAGTATGTGAGCAATACTTTCTGAGCTAGAATGCGAACAAATTGGTACATCGACGCAGCAGACTTGCGCTGATTTTTGATCGACTTGACCCACAGCTGCAGGCTATTCACCCGGGCGGGTAAGAATATATCCACGCAACCTTTCGGTACCGATTGGACCACATTGAAGTCTTTCTTCTTCAATTTCCTGGCTTGGCTGTAGGCGGATATGTGGGGTAGCTTCTTTGCATACGCACAGTGGCAGTCATAAAGGTGCAACCATCGTGTGCCTCGGAAGTCGCCTTGGGCGTCCATCATCCCAGCTAAGGTCGCCACCGCTCGAAACACTTCGTTCTGGAGTCATACATAGTCGACCGTGGTCACATCGGCCCCGCTAGCGACTACGCCATTGCGCTCGCCGGCCCCCTGCCGTGTAAGTGACCTGATTTGAAGTACGCTAATTCAATGAATTTGTCATCTGCCTTCTCCTCGCCCTCATCGTCCTTATCGAGGACGACTCCTCGCAAACTCCGCACGCATCTTTTCGTTACTATTCTCCATCGGTCAATGACTTGCGTGCCTCGATACTAGCAACCGACCATCATTTACCTTGTTTTGAGTATACCTTTCGGCGCCTGCTTCTACCTCGGGTCATGACCCCGCTGGCCCTTGCTGGTTGTGTGGCGGAGATTGTCGTGCTCGCGGGCTCTTCTAACTATGGCGTGCCTGCTGGCCGGTGTCTCGTTAGACTACCCCCGTGTCGTCCTCTTTCGCTACTCCTGGTTCGTCGGCCCAGGCCTCAAGGGGGTTCTCACTTGGTCGTGCTGCGTGGCTCCGCAGGTGGTACTTCACCTCTACTCTGCTCGATCTCGTTACATGGAACCGTGATGTCTTGGACGTCCTCAGCTGTTACTGCGCCCAACCGTCTAGTTCGTGCATACCCGAGCCAAGTGTTTTGGCTGCCCACACTGGTAGCACTTGTATTTGGTTCTTGAGACCCAGCAGCGATGGTTTGGCCTGACCCATTCGCTGCACTGTTGGCATTGGGTCAGACGTACTGTTGGTAGTCCATCAGCAGGCGGTGCGTGCCGTAACGGTTCTTCCACCGCCCTAGTAGTCGGCCCCTCAACTGCTACCCTACTTTGCTCTACTGGATGAAGACTACTCACTCTTCACCCATTTGTAGGCCTTCTTCAGTTGGCCTTTAGGATGTGGCCAACTGCCAGCACGAACAGCACCTGCCTTGCCCTCTTCTCCGGTGCACGGACAGTCCATTGCCATTTCAACATTGTCTTTTCTAGTTCAAAAAGGGTTTTTACGTCACCGCGCTTCCCCAAAAAAGGCCCCTCCAACCCACAAAAAAGTTCGTTGCATCTTAGGGGTACCGGCTTTTTACTTTGGGACACTTGAATGTAGCACACGAGTTGGCTGCCCCACGCGGCAAACAAACTTCTGACCCGGTCACGTGAGCTTAGCAGCTGTGCCTGCTCTAACGACTCGGGCAGGAGACGTCACGCCCCCATAAGAGATCCTCGAACGTGGAGTACCTCGAACGTGGAGTACTTCTCAGACGTCACTGACGTCGTCATTCATATACTTCTTCTCTTTTAGGGGTTCTCATCCTCCTCGGGCTCGTACCCATGATTGTCATATCCACCTTCTGGCTCGCCATCAATTTGAAAGTAGCTCCGTGCGATGTCTCTTTCTTTAGCCTCTTTGGAATTCGGCGGGAACGTGAGATGGCTTTCGAGCTGACTCTCCTCGATGTCCCTGGATCCGTGACAGTACCACCGCCGAAGTAAAGCACCCACTTCATCGCGCTCTTTGCAGGACAAGCTCTGCTCATATTCATTGATCTTGGGATAAAAGTCTCCTGCCATTCTTTTCATGATCTCGCCCTTTAGTTCGCATGCTGCTTCATAACCCCCGAAATGGGCGCTTGGTTCGTCCGATTGTGTGGTTAAAACTTTGTGTGCTAGAGCGCGAACAAATTGGTACAGCGACGCAGCAGACTTGCGCTGATTTTTTCGCGACTTGGCCGACAGCTGTAAGCTACTCACGCCACAGGGTATATCCAAGGTCGAGCAACCTTTCGGCACCGATACCACCACCTTGAAGTCTTCAAACTTCAGGTCTTCGGGTTGGCTGTGGACGGAGTGTGGGTTGAGCTTCTTCGGTCTCATTGTCATGGACACATTAACAGTCATAAACGAGCAGCCGCTGGTGTCCATAAAGTTGCCTTGGGCATCCACAATCCCGGCCACCAAAGTTGCCACCAACCGGCCGCAGTTTGGCTCAGCAGAGCAAATTGCTTTCATCTTCGTGGTTGATTTATAATTAATATCTGTTCCCGGCCATTGGCGGCAGTCGTTGATTTGGTTAAAAAAGTCCCCGTGTTTGCCACGCAGACACACGCGCGTGTTTGTATCCCGTACTCGATGCCCCAAAAGTCAAGAAGACGTATGAAAGAACGACCCTAAGCTCTCCGCAGCCACTAAAGAAAAAGTCCCACATAAATTTGTTCGGCCACTGGGAGAGGCCTTGTAAAAACGTCTCTCTCCCAGTGATGCGCTGCCCCCTTCTTCTTCTACATAATTAGACTCTGCATCCGACGTCTTACCGTTTGCGTCGTTCAATACTTTCTGCATGTCTACTTCGTCATCCGTTGATGACGTTGAACCTGTCTCTGACGACGGCTCAGCATCTACCTTGCTCAGATGCCTGCCCTATTTGGACGTGCCCTGGGTCCAGTTCTTAGTCGTCTCCGTAGGCTTACTATAACTGCCTCGTCGGTTCTGATTGTTGTAATTCGTCGTATTCTTCTTCTTATTACTGCTAGCGTATGTGTTCGGATTTGGGTTTTGCGTTCTCGGTTTCTTGTCGTCTGGGCGTTTCCGCGAACTTAGGTTGTAGATGTTTATGGGTTTAAGTATCGCACCCGACTCAATCCGACGCATAGTCCCCTCTTTCCCGTACACTGTGCAGCTCAAAAGTACATTA